AATGGGTCTATAATTATTTACCTGCTTTAAATATTGGTGTAACATTTGAAACTTTCCATTGCTGAGAAAGTTGGCCTGTTAAAAAACATAGATTGTTTATGTATACTAGTGGATCAAGAATATGACAAGGGATGAGTTTTAAAGTTTTTGCACTGGTGAGGCATTTATTTTTAAGTTAGAAATGATAATTGTCAGTTCATTTTTAGTAATAAGTTCTAAAAATAGTGATCTGTGAACTGTTACATCTACTAAGAAGTTTTTTGGCAACTCTTCATTTGGGATTTTCTTACTCATTTCTTTTCCTATATTTATAAAGTATTTATTAAACTCGTTGGCTTTAGTAATATTATCAGTTATTATAGTACCATCTTCAAGTGTAATATCAACATTCTCAATATATTTTTTAGTTTTTTTCTGTACTTATATTGTTAATAGTATTCCAAATTTTGTTATAATTAGTTCCAGCCTCCTCGATCTTAGTTTTGTAATAGTCATTTTTTGTTTTTGTCAGTAGTGTATATAATTTATTTCTATAGTTTTTATATTCGAATTCCAATTGTAGTGAAAAGTTTTTTAAAAGTTGAATCTTTAGGTTATTACGCTGTATTATAGAGTTTATAAGACCATTTATGATCCAGGGTTTGATTTTAGTTAGCTTTTTCTTGTTTAACTTTTATTGTTTGTGTTAAGAATGGAATGTAGTGGTTAAGATTATCAATAAAAATATTATAAGAGTGTTGTGGATTTGTTAAATTATAAAAATTTTCCCAATTTAAACTACAGGTTTGTTTAGGTTGCTTTATGTAAGAAATTTCTATAAACGGTGTAAAATGGTCTGTTATGTCTGTTGTAAAAATTATTGGAGAAATAGATATTTTGTTTTTAAATAAATTTTCTTTTCTAATAAATATGTGGTATATAGTTGATTTTGTATTTTTAGTAACTCTAGTTGGTTTGTTTATGTACGAATAAACGCTATTTGCAGTAAGAATGTTTAAATAGTTATTTGTTTCATTATTTTCAATTTTTAATAAATTTATATTAATGTCCTCTAAATATATTTCAATATTTCGTTTTTTTAAAGTAGCTAAATAATAATCTAAATCTTTTATGTAAGTTAAAGTATTTGTACTATACCTATAATATGCAGGTAACCCTACTGTACTATCTTGTAGAGAATTTATTGCAGAGATAGTTACTCTAAGAAAATTTGTGTTGTTCACTGGAATTGCAGTTACATCAGCTGTTATACTATCTTTAATATAGATCATAACTCCATCGTTTTGATTAATAGCGGAGTTATTGTGGTGTTAGTATAGTTTGGTATTGTAAAATGACCTACCGATTGTATAGTTCTCGTTTCCGATAAAGATAAAACTATAATATCTAAAAATGTATAAGACATTTTTATATAAGTTACCAGTTCATCAAAATGTTTTCTTATGCCTCTTATATTAAAGTGTACCAATCTGAAGTCGAGCTTATCCTTTTTAAATTTTTCGCTGAAATAATTTTGGATGATCTTTGTATCAATATTGTCTTTGCAATCTAAAGTATCCAAGAATTTTAACATCTTATATTAAATTAAATAGGTTACAATTTATAAAGTGTTTTTTCTGCATTCATATGAATCAGGTTTTTTTTTTTTAGAATTTTAGAATTTGGATTAATATTCCAACCTCACGAACTAGTCTTATAGTAAATTTATTAACTGTTATTAAATAGTGAGCTAGTCATTAGTTTTAGGATGTCAATGCTATCTAACTTAATCTAAATTAAGTCGTTTCTGTTTTTTATGAAAACAATTTTACTAATAATATTTGCAGTTCATACTTGCTTTAGCCCATACTTTTTTTATAGATTCGTTTAAAAATAGTTCAACCCTAAAGCTTGTAAGATCTTCCCTAATTACCACTCCACTACCTCTAAGCATCTTCTTCTTGGAATATTTTTTTTTATTCGTAGTTAATTAATTTTAAATAAATACCTCTTTTCTTTGAACCTTCCTTTTTTCCAATTATATAGCACAGAGCTATTTCATTAGATGATATGTTTAATCCCATTTTGGTATTCATTAATGGATTAAATAAATTGAGTTCGACTAGTTAGTTGCATTTTTATAATAATATCATTTACTGTATACCAGTTATTTTGTTTAATATGTCAGCAGGATTTTAAATCTGTAAATTGTGTATTACCGCTTAAATTTGTATAAATTTGCAGAGCACACTTCGCAAACAACCTTTTATTCAGTCGCCATACTAATATAGATTTAAATATTGTCCAACTGCGCTGGAGGCACAAGATTGGAGACAAATTATGTATACATTGATAATATTGATGCTAAATTAAGCTTTTTGAATAAAACAATTTTACATTTAGTTAATGAGTTTGCACCTCTTCAAACTTGCACTATTTTACACAACAATAAAAAACAACCCTGGATTACAGACAATATCAAACTACTACAAAAACTCAGAGATAAGGCTTTAATAAAGGATCATAAAGCTAAACTGCCTGCTCACTGGGAGAACTATAAGGAATTCAGACATTTCACTTTTGTTTCTATTAAGTGAGAAAAAAAGCATACCTGCAATACAGATTATCCCGCTGCAATTCTAAAGAAAAATGGTGTGAACTACATAAATTAAATATTAAAGCTACTAAAAACCGCGAATTACCTTCAAATTTGAGCGACCTAAGCAAATTAAATAATTTCTTTGTTGGTGATTCTACTATTACTGATCCTGATATAAACACTTTTCACTACTGTAACAGCAATATTTTTTGTAAAGTGCGTGAAGAATTTTAATTCACAAATTTCACAAAGACCAAATTTTGGAAATCATAAAAACTACCAAATCTAAGGCTTACGGAAGTGATAATTTAAATATCGATATTATATTTATTTGTTGTCCATTTATTTTAAAATATATTTCACATATATTTAACGAAAGTATAAACGTTGGTTACTTTCCCACTGCTTGGAGGTATTCATATGTCATTCCTCTACCTAAAGTCTCCCAACAGCTAGAATTAAATCGACTGAGAAATATAAGCATTCTCTCAGTCCTTTCCAAAATGTTTGAAAAACTCTTAGAAAAGCAACTATATTTGCATATAAAAAATTCTATATTCTTTTCAAAACTCAATCTGGATTTAGAAGTAAATATGGGTGTTCAACCGCTTTAGCCGATGTCACCGATGACATATTGCGCTCTGTTACCTTCTTTTTAGATTTCTACGATGTAAATTGTACTGTAAATTGTGATTTAGCTTTGTTTGTGCACATTATATATCTGTGTCCATCTATACAGAAAAGACTTTTTAGGTGGATAAATCTGTTTTTGTTGGTAGAAAAACTATTTTTTGTTTTCACAATAATTTTTTATCAAAAATGAATAATATCTTTACTACTACTTAATATAACCTGCAAAATAAATGTTGTATTCGTTAAAATTCTTGGACCTCCCTCGTAAATGTTAAAACTAAATATTTATCATAGCTGCTTTTTTGGACATTTAATCTTTATTTATTTCACCGTTAATACGCATCTAAAAATGTTTACAAAAACAATTTCTCACAATTTTAGGTACCAATGTTTAAGAAGTGGTTCATATCCATTTAGCGTGTTTAAGTGATTGTTGAGTTTTTCTTTGCAACTATACCTGGAAATAGAATTTCAGTGTTCATTAGAGCAAGAATAGTGGCTTTGCATGATGAGGGTCTGCCGAATCATCAAATCGTTGATAAACTAGGGATTCCTCGCGCTTAAGTTATCCAAGAAAGGAACAGCGTTGATTGGAGACATGGGACTGGGCATCCTAGGGTAACTAATCCTAGAAAAGATCGGTATGTAGCAGGTTATGTACGTCGGAATCGAATCATAACAGTCTCAGCTGTACGAACTTATTTTAGAAGAATGTATGGTCGATTCATTTCCAGTACCACAATAAGGCGGAGACTTGCTAGAGCCAATTTACGATTTAGGAGATCATTAAGAGTACCGAGGTTACTTTCCAGACAGGTAACTGTTCATCTACAGTGGGCACAGGAACAAAGAAACTGACTTTTAGCTCATTGGTGAAATGTTTTTTTTCGGACGAAACCAGATATGGTTTAATTAGTGATAGTCGGCGATAGAGAGTTTGGAGAGGGCGACAACAAAGACTATCTTTTGGCAGAGAAGTCGTTCCATACCAAGAAGGAACAGTAATGGTTTGGAGAGGCATAATGCATGGTCGACGTATGCAGCTTATTCCCATTCCAGACACTATGACAGCTCATAGATATGTTCGAAACATTATTTAACCCATTATTTATCCTAACCGAAATAAAACTGGGGCTAATTTTATTTTCATGGATGACAATGCTAGGCCCCATCGTACGAAAAGAGTACGACATCCTTATTGTTTCCATGCACAGGTAAGTTAATACCTTACTACAAAACAGGACACACCGATTAATAATGCATTTTTGATTGCGCTCTAAAGTGGTTTTCCTCTGGATTTTGAAATTCTAGTAATTATTTTATTATGAAATATTTTGGGTTCATATTTTTTTTCTTATTCAGTTAAAACTTAATTCAACTAATTTGTATTGAATACATATACGTATTAAATGTACACACTTCTTGACTTTTAATAATAGTGTCTCATTTTGACAAGAATTTTGGCGATGTGTTTTCCCCTATTTATATGTTACTTAATTTATGGGATGAAATACTTTATGAACGGAAATAATATGTCATATATAATTATTAGGTAAATAGGAAGATATTACCAGACCAACTTAAATATTAAATATACCTGTATGTGTCGAGCGAACTAGACGTGTTGCCACTGTGCTGCGATTAAAAGTTAAAATTCATAGGAAAACATACAAATAAAAATTTTTACGCTAGGTATAGTGTTAATAACAAAGAGTCGATTTTTGTATAAATTATAAGTGAAAATTGATCCAAGAAGCTGTAAGTACAACTGCATTTCTTTTATATTAATATGGATACTCGAAACCGAAAAACCTCGATAAAGGGAGAGGAAGAACTGCACAACTTGCATACAATAGTCAAGACCCTGGTTACTACATTGTGTACCTCAGATGAATTCATATCTACATTGATTAAAACAATAACTGAGAGTCTTAATGATAAATTTAAGAAAGATTTTCAAAGTTTAAAAGATGAAAATAAACAATTAGTGAAAAAATTACAAAATCAGGATCAATCAATAAAAAACCTAATCAACAGACAAGAGATATGGGATCGTTCTATTAGAAACCGCAATCTTATATTTTATGGTATAAAGGAAAACGAAGGGGAGCGATGTACCGATGTTCTAATGGATTTTTTCATGAATAAAATGAAGTTAAAATTAGAAAATTCTTGTATTGAGAGCTGTTTTCGATTAGAAAGAAAAGTAGGCAATAAAGATAGACCAGTGATGGTAAAATTTTCTGTAAAATTTTGTAAGGATTTAGTTTTTAAAAACAAAAAACTTTTAAAACAAACTAAAATTGTAATTAGAGAAGATTTGTCTCAAGAACAACAAAATATAATAAAAGAGACTCTTAAGAAGGTGGGAAGCAGAGGAAAAGTGTGGACAATGTCAGGGAATATTTTTCTAAAACTCAATGATAACGAACAAATTATCAAAATCAATGAATTGGAAGATACTGAACTTTTTAATTAATACAAACTATTGTTTTTTTTTGCTTTCTTGTTGAATCACAATTTATATTTAGTTATGTGAATAGTTATAAATTAAAACTTTTTGAATTATTTTTTAATTTTTGCAGTTTAAAACAATTAAATTATTTAGATTATTTTTCGCAGTACATGTGCAATTGTGTCGCACCTCTCAGGTGTTTTATTTCTTATCGCTAGTAAATAAAGTTGATTTTGCGTTCTGTTAGATTTAAAGAGAGAGTTTTTAATGTATTATTTTTATTTTATATCAAATACAGATTTAATAGTATAAATGAAATATTTAAAAATTGGTTGTGCAAATGTTATATCTTTACCACCTTCTGTTCATGATGTAAATGATATAATCGGAGAAAATAATTTTGATATATTTTTAATTTGAGAGTCTTGGTTAAAAGATTCTATTAATGATCATGCACTAAGTATTGAAGATTATAACTTACTTAGAGCTGATAGAAATGCTAGGGGAAAGGGTTTATGCATGTATATTAGACACGGACTTCGCTACGAGGTAATGGTTAGTAGACAAAACTGTATTTGGGAACAACTGTGGATAAAATTGGTTGTTAATGAAAAAGTATTGGCAGTGGGGGTTATTTATAAGCCTCATGAGCAAAATACTATATCTTTTATACATGAATTTGAAGACAGTCTTACCTCTATTTTGCCAATTGTTGATGAGATAGTATGTATGGGGGATTTTAATTTAAATTTGTTGAATTTTAGTAACATAACTGTATTAAGATTTTATTCACTTTTAGAAACGCTTAATCTTTGTCAATTAATAGACGAGCTTACAAGAATTACAGCAACATCAGCTACTCTTCTTAATTACGTAATAGTTCAAGAAGGAGCTGCTGTTGAAAAGGGAATAATACATGATGCAATTTCTGATCACTCTTTAGTTTTTTGTAAAATTAGAGTAAGTACTGAGCAGTTCGCGCCTAAAATGATAACTTTTAAACATTTTGACGAATATATTTTTCAGCGTGATCTTTTCAATACTTCCTTTTTTAGAATTTATGATCAAGAAACAGTTGACGAGAAAGTTTCATATTTAATTAACTGCTTAAATGATCTATTTGACAGACGTGCTCCTATTACAACATCGAGGGTGACTAAATGTAAAGCTCCATGGTTAACTTATCCGATAAAATTAATGATTTCGGAAAGAGATAAGGCGCTAAGAAAGTATAGGCGAAATAGATCTAATGTTCATTTACAGGCTTACAGAGAACTACGCAATTTCACTAGTCAGTCTATTAAAAGGGAAAAAAGGGCTTATTTTTTACATCAATTTAATAATAGTTCTTCTACAGACATGTGGCGAACTTTAAAAACAAATAAGTTTATTCCAAGTAAAAACCAAAATATACCTGAAGACCTAATGAAACCAAATGAAATTAATCGTTATTTTATTAAATCTATTCCAATAACCGAACCACCTGAAGAGGTCAGAAATTTTTACAAAAATAATAAAATTATTGATTCTAATTTTAATTTTAGAGAAGTTAATGACCTTTTCGTTTTTAAGACGATCTGTGATATCAAAACTTATACCAAGGGGTGTGATGGATTGAATATAAAACTGATTAAAATTTGCTGCCTTCATATAGTACCCTGTATTACACATTTACTAAATTTCTGTATTACTGAAAATGTCTATCCTGCAATGTGGAGGAGAGCAGTTATAAAGGTTCTGCCAAAAAAGCAAAGCCCAGTAAGTTTTAAAGATTTACGTCCAATAAGTATTTTGCCTACTTTATCAAAAATATTAGAAAAAGCCATGGAAAGTCAGATAAAAGATTACCTACATCAACACTCATTATTACCCACTGTTCAATCGGGCTTTCGCAAAGACTTTAGTTGTACAACTGCTCTGCTCCATATTGTTGATGACGTCATTAAAGCCACTGATCAGGGAAAATGTACTCTATTAGTTATGTTAGATTTTAGTCGGGCATTTGATACTCTTCATCATAATCTACTAATATGTATGTTGCAGTATATAGGCTTTTCGGAAAATGCTCAATTACTAATAAACAATTATCTTAAATTTAGACAACAAAAATTTTGCATAAATAATGTGTATTCAGAATATCTCAATTTAAGATCGGGGGTTCCTCAAGAGTCAATCCTTGGACCTTTATTATTCTGTATCTATTCGGCTCATATCTTATCACGAATCCAGTTTTGTAATTTCCATCTTCATGCAGATGATACACAATTGTACTACAGTTTTTATCCTCAAAAAGTATAAAGTGCATGTCAAACTATTAATAACGATTTAGAGAATTTCATAAGTTATGCAACCGACCACTGTTTGATAATCAATCCTGATAAATCTAATGTTATTTTATTTGGAAGTAACTATCATCGTCAAACTGTAGTACAATCAATAACTGTTAATATTAATTCCAAAAAACTGCAAGTTGTTAATGATTCAAAAAATTTAGGTGTAATATTGGATTCCGATTTAAGATTTGAGAAGCACATAAATAGACTAATACAACATGCTTACTGTAATCTAAAAATCATATACGGCAATCGTCATTTATTACCGATCCATGTCAAAAAAGCCTTATGCGAAAGCCTAGTGTTATCTTTATTTAATTATGCGGATGCCTTATACGGTCCTAATTTAACAAAATATTACAAACAAAAAGTTCAAAAGGTATAGAATGCATGCTTACGGTTAATCTATGGCATTAGAAGAAGGCAAAGAACTTCCCCAAAACTACTTGAAATAGGCTGGTTAAATATGCACAATAGACGAATACTTCACGCTACGTCACTATATCATAAGATTATTTGTAACAAAAAACCCCCATATCTTTATCGTAGAATTACTTACCGTACCGATATTCATAATATAAATATAAGGAATAGAGGGTTACTGACTGTTCCGTCTTTTAGAACTGAATTATTCAGGCGATCATTTAGTTACAACATTTGCTATCTTTACAATACGGTTGCAACCAATTTTAAACTCCAAAGTGTTTCCAGATTTAAAACGATGTATAAAAACTATTTCTTAGCATCTCCACATTAGTCTTGTAAAATTAAATAGATTCTATTCAAATTTAAACTTTTGTACCTATTATTTCTTTGGTTAGATTGTTAGGTTAAACTTTTGCACATATCAAGAACAGATTCTAAACTGAATATAATGAAAGGAAATACCCTAAAACCAGTGGCATTACACCTAAGGAGGAATGACACAACTTATATAATATAATAGTCAGCAGTTCCAAGGTTCACCGACGAGGTTGCCGACTCAGGGTTATCGACTATATAACTTATATGCACATGGCGCGATGGAAAACTTAGATGTACCTAATATTTATTTAAACATGGTAGTGAACGTGTTAACTCAGAAATATAGTTCCTAATAAAGGTAAAATAACATTAAGAAAAAGAAAGCTAGTCTTGCAATTATTATTAGGTGTGTACCATACAGTGATGCCAGGTCATTCGAATCCAAATTACATCGGAATACAATAAAGTTTTTCCCTTTTCCTGCATTTTACCCACTTTAAAATAAAATTATTATGTCTTGCGAAGAAGTGTAAGCCCAATTAATGAAAGAATTGTGAAATTATCGAAAAACCAATAAATATTGTACATCTGACAACGTGGCAATACTTGTATCATGAACAGAGAAAATAAATCGATAATTTTGAAGGTAACTGGAAGGACGCGAGACAAATATAAAAAGCACGAAACAATAAAGAACAGCTATTATACCGAATCAAAAATAGGTACCTCTAAACAATAATTCACCTACTAAAACCATCTCTAAAACAGATGTCAACATTATCTTAATATTTATACTTTTACCCTTCCACAAAAAATGGTATGCTAGTTGTTCAACTATCGATAGAATGAATTTTAAATTCGATTAAATTTTTCTTTTTAAGAAATTATATTTATGTCTGATGATGGTCATGTTATACCGAAACTAGTTGCGATAACCTGATTTAATAAAAACTTTCTTGTGATAATGATTTTGAGAGTTTTTTTTTTACTTTATAACAGACTACATTTAAGATAATTCCTCTTAATGATTTAGTTGTAACATGAATTGCGGATTGGTTTGTTTTAATCAGATTTTTATTCCCATATTTCTCTAACGACAATACTAACTTCAGATACCGTTTTAATTAATCCCTACTATGAAACGACTTATTAAATGCGATTTTTTCAAGATGACGGCTCGCACACCACCCCAGGCATGTTTTTTGTTTGTCGCCCTTAATAATGTCGTGCTGTCATTAACATTTTTTCGTATCATTTACTTTTTGCGCGGACAATTTTGGATAAGCATAACGAGGCATTTTAATTTGGCAACTAATGGTGGGGTTTTAAAAAATAATGAGGTCACGTTTCGACCTCTCCACGAGGACTTTAATATAATATACAAAAACTTTTTAGCAACGGTTGTTTGGTAAAAAAAAGATAGGTAAATTAAAATGTAGGTCCGCTTTCGACTAATTTTGAGAAACATAATTCTTCTGGAGGCTTCATAAAAAGCAAACGATAATAATTTTTTGAGTAGTTAATAACGAGAAGGTCTCTTTGTGATACTGGGTTGTATGTGCGTGTGTATTACAAAGAGATGGCAAAAAAATAATAATGAAAAAACCAAAATTATTATTCAGTGTGGCATTTCATGTTTAGACCATATGTTTCTGAAAAGTAGGATCAGCGATATTACATCACAATGTTGTAAAAAATAATATTAGAGGTTACTCATACATATAAAAAAGACTGGGAAACATATATATCCTCGGATACCCTTAGAGGTGGATGCGCCTTAATAATAAAAGAAAATATTAACCATTATGACGAGATTAAAATGGGCACAGAAGAAATACAGGTAACAGCAGTTAACATAAAAACGAATAAATACAGTTTCGCAGTTGGAGCAGTATATATCCTACCGCGACATAATTAAAAAAAAAAAATTAGAGAGAACTATTACGA